CACTCTGTTTTGGTTTTTTTTATGCGAATGTGCTTTCCGTCAATACATCCAATGCAATTAGGAAACTGCCATCTGTCCCAAAAACATTGCGCTATGTTTTTAAAGCTATCTTCTGAAGGTTCGGGCATGTGTTTCCTAACTAATTGAGTCCATATAGCTTTGCAAACTTGTGGTACGATTGTAGAAATAGCAGATTTTGAAATTCTGAACGAGAAAGCGAGTTGCCGAAATTGTATACCTGTGGCCAAATACCTGAAATAATGCAAAATATTAAGTTATAATTCCTTTTCTTTTTTCAGGTGAAATGACTAAGAAAAAATGGAAAAATTTGAGAGACACGTTTAGTAAAGAATTAAAAAAAATTTCTAAGCCACGTTCTGGGACTGATGCCGATAATGAGCCGAAGTATACAGGCACATGGCCACATTTTGAGGCCATGTCTTTTTTAAAAGTAGTTCTGAAACCCCGACAAACAGAAGGGAATATTATATCAAAAGACTCCGAAAGCAATTCTGTAGATCTGTCAGTGTATTTAGACGCGGCTAGTCCAGAAGAGATTTTAACATGAACGCATCTGACAATGACAACACCCAGCTCCCTGAATCTGCGTCTATTTTAGAAGAAATACCACAGAACATGTCCATAGATAACAACCTTCGACAAGATCGTCCACCTTCGCCCTCGTTGCCAGGTCCTTCGCCTTCATCCTCGTTGCTGGTGCCTTCCCTTCGTCCCTCGTTGCCAGCTATCACAAGGCAAACACGCAAAAGAAAAGATTTAAGTCTCGAGCATTTCTCGATATTGAGAGAGGAAAAAATGAAAATTCTTCGCGAAGATCAACAGATAATACTGACGACGACCTTCTTTGGTTCAAATCAATATTACCTTACATGAAACAGTGCCATCACTCAACAAATTACATTTTAGAACGCAGATGCAGGAGCTCTTCTAATGGAGCTGTCAAAGTTAAACACACCACATCCAGTGCTCAACAACCTGGCTATTACACATCTTGTGAAAGTATTGCAATTATGTACTACTTACTAATTAACTTAATTAATATTATATGTAATCTCTAACATTTATTTCATAGTTTATTATTTCATAGTTTTCTTACCTCAAAGTCACCATAAGTCGTTCTTCTACAGAAATAGGTTCCTGAAAATTTGTTGTAGTAAATTGCAGAACAGGTTTAAGGCTTGTACAATATAGTCAAACGTAGTAGGTAACATTCGACAATATTCCTTGAACAACAGGGGTTGAGTACGTAAATCCTGGTACAAATTATGAAATTCCCCATGACTATGCCTTTCTAAGTACACAGTATTAGTTCCACTTCTCTGCTTTATACACTTCTTCAATATCTCATATTTAAGATATGAATTTTCCAACAACATAAGCTTCCGTCCGTCCATGACAAATGTTACCCTAACCTAACCTAAATGCTAAACTGAACTCAACGGCGGCGGAGGGCGCGGAGGGGACGGTTCGCGCGCAGACAGGACAGAGTAGCCGCGTCGCTCCGCACCGCGTTAAATCGCATCGGATCGTTTCGCAATCGCGTTCGCGTTGAGTCGGTCCACGTAGGACACAGCGTTAGAGCAGGGTTGTCCAACATACGCGAACTCCTTTCTTGCGGCCCGCTTTGCGGGTCATGTATAAGTTATGGAATCCTGATACTACCGTATCGCCTACCTAATAACACCATCCAATTCCTTTATGTATTACACCTTCCCATCCATTTCCGCTGCTCTTAGGCGCGAATTACACTGAAAAGGCGTAAGGTGAAGGCGCGGCGCAGGCATCTTGGCGCTTCAAAGGTTTTCAATACAAAATGTAGGTAGGCGACACGTTGTGAATTATACTCAAGCGGCGTGGCGCAGGCACGTCGTTTCGTCACCTGTTCCGCGTCGCTAGCAGTCGCGACTGGAGTGCTGCGCAAGCAATACGTTGTTTGTTATACAGGAGGAGCAAAAATGCGTGACGATAGTGAATTTAACTTACAGTTCTGCGAGATAGTTGAACAATATCCAGCTCTTTACGATTATAATAAGCCGGAGTACTCTAATAAAAATATACAAGACAAAATATGGAGAGAAATAGGATTAAAACCAGGTGCAACAGGTAAGTACTTTATTTTTATTTATTAATTATGTCTATTTTGAAATGGAATCGGAGATCGAGTTGTCATGTATGTTGTAAGATATTCTCTGATGATTTTAGGATCTTCCCTTGTTTGTTGCACGTTGATGTTTGTTCCTATTAAACTGTTATTAAAACGTGGAACCACGAGTTTCCCATCATATTTGCGGATAACATTATGCAAAACGCTCATAGCTTTTATAATGCTATCGGCATTTTCTGGATCGCAGCAAACAGATGTGCTAAGGACGCTAAATTTAGTCCTTATCATACCAAAGGCACATTCCACTGATTTTCGTGCCCTTGACAATCTGTTATTAAATGCTCTTCTCTCATTTGTTAACTGATTTCGGCCATACGGTTTCATTAAGTTTTCTTCAGAGGAAAAGCTTCATCAGCAATAAAATAATAGGGCACCATATTCGTTTCTCCAGGCAATGGAGTAGGGTGTGGTAAATTGAGGTTTCCTTGTTCCATAGCTTGCCCAAAGTAACTAACTTGGAATGCACGCCCGTCACTGTTTCGGCCATATTCGCCGACATCTATAATTAAAAACATTCCATCTGCATCTACTACTGCCATCAATACGATAGAGAAATATCCTTTATAGTTTATGTAAGCTGAGCCAGAATTTTTGGGTGCTTTAATTCTTATATGCTTTCCGTCTATACTTCCTACTCAATTTGGTAAATTCCATAAAGTGTAAAAACGTTGAGCAACTTCAAGCCATTTTTGTGTTGTAGGTATTGGCATATATTCCGGCTGTAAATATTCCACAGTACACGTGAAGTTTCTTGTACGATTTTTTGAACGGTAGTGCTGCCTCTCTGAACATATGTAGAAAGCGATTTAAACGAACATCCATCTGCATAGTATCTGTAACAAAAAATATAGTTATAATATGTACACGAAACTGAATCGCGCTTGACCAAAAATGAAACTTAAGCCCTTTCGCACACGACAGTATTGTATTCATGTAATTGTCTGGTGACACTTTCTTACATCACATCCATCATCCATCCCTTTCATGCGTCGGATGTTAAAAATAATAGTATATAGATAGATACATCTATTCATTTACAAATAATAATTTAATTTACTGTGTGTTGATTTGTAAAACAGCACCCAACTCAGGGTGCTTTCTACTCTTCAATACGAACAACTTTTACTATGGGACCAACTGAAAAATCTTAGAAAAACAGCTGTTCCATGCTAAAATTTGATACCTACTGAACAAAATGTATATAGAACAGCTGTTTTTTTCAAAGATTTTTAAGCTGCTCCCATAGTAAAAGTTGTTCGTATTGATGAGTAGAAAGCGCCCAGTCGAAGTTGTTATACAAAACAACAATAGGTATTATATCATCGAATAAAATTATTGGTTTTTGTTTCAGCTAAAGACTGCAAAGACCGATGGAAGAACATCAGATGTAGTTACTCAAAGAATAAGAGAAACATGAGTGCTCCATCTGGATCTGCTGCGAAAACACCTAAAGAGTACTACCTTGCACCAAACTTGCGTTTCCTAGACAGTTTTTTAAAATCCCGACCCTCTAAAGGCAATTTGGGGAACGATGCAGACCGAATCGAAGATGAAGACGATTTGACATGCATGTCTGCTGGCTCACCTGCAGGTGAACGGCAGGCGACTGATTTTATCACGCCACAACATACACAGCCGCCACCAAAAAATAAACAGATTCGTAGAAGTGATGTTAATAAGACAGCGCACGAATACTTCACCCTAAAAAATAAACAAATAATTGCACGACAACAAAATATGGACGAAGGAACAAAAGTAAAAAATAAGGACGATTCAGACGCCGACATGGCCTTTTTCCGCAGCATGATGCCAGATGTGCAAACAATGAATCAAGACCAAAAACGAAAATTGAAATTGGGCGTACTTAATTTAATTGAACAAATTCTAAAAGAGCCAATCACTAGTCGTATTTCATGTCCGAGAAGTATAACTCCTTACCAAAGAACTCCATCACGGGAGTCAGAGTATAATTCACCTGCAAATGTGGGATCTTATGGAAGTCCAACGGGATCTTATGGAAATCAATCACCTCAGCAGACACATACGTCTGACGCATATGGAGGTCTGACACTTCAGCAGACACATACAACTAGCGGATACGGAGGTCTGACACTTCAGCAGACACAGCCGACACTTCAGCAGATACAGCCGACACTTCAGCAGACACAAACGACTGGCGCATATGGAGATCCAACACTTCAGCAGATGCAAACAAGTGGTGCTTACAGAGGTCGGTCACCTCAGCGAGCTGGAACTCAAATTTATTTGCCATTGTTTTCTCCAGTTACTTCGGTTTCACCTCCGTCACACCAAAGAATTGAAGCAGAAAGTCAACCTCACGATGGTGATGTGAATGATTCCAATTATTAATTTTTGCGGTAATGATCAGAGATCGGAATTGGGTGTGTGAAAATACCTAAACTTTGCAGCTGGACATAATATGGAACTGTTACAACCACTTAAGTTGAACCAGTTTTGAATTTTACCGGTTCAGTTTCAGCTTTTTTGTTTTACATCTTCCCGCTAATACAGTTTTAAAATAATTTTGGTTTTGAACTTTTCCGGTTCAAATTCGGTTTTTTAGTTCTACTCGTTCTTTACATAGTTTAGTTTATAGTTGGGTGTTTCAAAGTTAAGGAACATGTAAAACAAAAAAACCGAAACTGAACTGGTAATATTCAAAACCGGTTCAAATTAAGTGGTTGTACTCCATGTTATGCCCTGCTGAAAACTTTAGGTATTTTCTTTCACACACCCAATTCCGATCTCTGGTATTGATAGATAGCAAACAAGTCCTCCTGATTGTCAAATCTTAGTCCAGTTTTCTACTCAAACATCAAACAAATAAAAGTATATAAAAATGCCAAAGATGTTTTACTAACCTTAATGTTATCAATAGTCTTTCTTCAGGACAGATCGGTTCTCTCCAATTTGTATGCTTCTTCTGAAGACCGTGTCTCACTTTCGACAATACAATGTGGAAACATTCTAGTGACATTTTATACACTGTAGGAAAACGATCAGGATATTCGCATAATTTTTCCATCATTTTAAAATATCTATGCTCTTGTGACATTCTCCACACAGGGTGCACCCAATATCTTCGGTGTCTCTGCACATTAATGAGTTGCAGCAAAGCCAACGCATCTTCGTCGTCTGAAGAGGAAGACATGCTATCACGATAAAGTCACCCTATGTAATGACTTGTTGTGCCATCTCTTCGCCTCTTTGATATAATTTAAATCGCATCCGTGCCTTATCTGTGCCACGCCTGCTCTGCGTCTGCGCCGCGCCTTCACCTTACGCCTTTTCAGTGTAATTCGCGCCTTATAATGTAAATAGATTTACGAAACATTATTTGACAAACACTTGAATTCTTATCTCAAGACATGACCCTTATTTTATGTACGAGGCGTGTTTTTAAAGTAAGTACCGTTTTGACCTAAAAGAACAACAAGTAAATTTTGTCCAAAAATAATTTATTCACTTGAAAGGCCATATTTTACTCTACTTTCCTACGTAATTCCCATTACAATTGAGGCATTTATCGTATCTTGAGACCTGCTTTTGTATGCCATCGTCAAAGAAGCTTGCCGCCTGAGTAAACAACCACTGCTTCACATTTTTGGCACCCAGCGTGAACACAATTTCCGATAATTTAAACGTTTCGTAAAGAACACTTCTTGAGACAGCAGGAAACTGTTCAGCTAAGGACGAAATCGTGAATCGCCTGTTCTCTTTCACTTTACAGTCCACTTTTTGAATCAGGTCATCGGTAATGTCTGAAGGTCTCCCACTTCGTTCCTCACCATGAATGTTTGTGCGGCCATCTTCAAAGGCCCTAACCCATTTCTGCACCATTCCATCACTCATAATGTTTTCACCACTGACTTGGTGATGAATTTCAACTGATTTGAAGCCTTGAACACACAGAAACCGTATTACAGCACACACTTCGCAGTCTGCGGGATTCACGATCGGTGGAGGCATTTTAAAATCACGCAAACAGATGTAGACTCGATCGGATGGTTCAGTAGTGGCGTCTGCGGCTTCCGAACAGATGTAGCTACACGACGCGCATGCGCTAAACGGCAACCGCAGCGCTGCGGCGGCGTAATTTAAAAACGGTACTTACTTTAAAAACACGCCTCGTACTTATCCTCATCTGTACTTTCTTTGTTACATTTTATTATAAATACTCTTGTAAACTTGATATGTTAGATTCAATCTGCTTTCATCCACCACTGTACAACGAAGTTCCGAAATAAAAGTTTTTCTCAAAGTTTTCGACGAACATTTATTTGGCGCTGCGAACAGGATAGTGTTTACGGTATCCAATTAAAGATAAACCGGTGTTATTTCAATAACTTCGAAACACTATCAAGAAGACTTGGACTTAGAAATATTTGCTGCCTGCCGACACTTGCAAATTGGACAGCCTCCGACGAACGAGTACCCAGCCGCAGTGTCTCCAAACTTCTACTTGGGAAGTAGATCAGCTAGAAATCTCCACGCTACGAGAATCATCCTTGCTGTCTACACCTGAAACCAGAGAAAACTTCAGAAAATCGCTGTAAGGAAAGGAAGCCGATGTCTCCCTCAGCAACTACGCTAGTTACGCTGTTGTAAGTAGATTTAAGAATTAACGTTTACAAGCACTATTTTGAAACATTACAAGATTTTACATTTTGAAACACACTCATCATAAGAAGAATCAAGAGAAACCTAAGGAATCAAGACTTTATTTTATAATTTATGCCTTTTGTAGCTAGAACTAAGACAGACACTCCTCGTGTTAAACCTTATTCTACTAACTGTAGACCCTAATTTAAGTGAACTTACTGACGAATTACCTATCGACATGACGACTGAAAATCATTCCATTCAAAGAAATAGAATTTTAGAAATAAAATTCAGAGCTTTACAGAATAACCTACCGAAATTCTCAGGACAAAACAACTTGACTATATTCTTACGTGACACTGAAACATTCATTTCCAAATTTACTAATACAGATTTTGCCGAATTAGCTGTTGAAGTAGTAGCATCTAATCTCATTGATGAACCTCATGAGAAAATATGCTTTCAAAACGCGAATACATGGCCTGAAATCAAAAACATTTTAGTTACTCACTATAAGAACACGAAAACTGGCTCTATTATACAAAATCAACTTGCAATGCTCAGACAGAAAGACAACGAGAATTATAAACAATTTTTCGACAGAATTGTTAACAAATTACGTGAACTCAATAAATACGCTAGCTTAAAGTTTTCAAATCCCGTCGTTAGAAGTACTCTCCTAACTGAATACGAAGACCTAGGTCTACAATCATTCATTCACGGCATTAAGAATCCATATTCTGAAAGACTTAAACATAAGAACCCACTTTCACTATTTGACGCTTTATCCATTTGCGAAGCAGAAGATAATTCTATCGCACTAGCAAAATTCAAGGAATCTACTAATTCTAGAACATTCCTTAGACCTTCCAATCACACCACACCACGTCATTCCAATACACCCAGAACAAACACACATTATAATACAAATTTCACTCCCAGAAATCATTCCTCTACACCTTTTAATAACAATTTTAGACCACCCATGTTTAGGAACCCCAATCCTAATCATAATAACTCCACAACAACAACCTAATTCTACAAGTTATCAACCAAGACTTACAAATAACAATTTTACACCTAGAAATCAAAATACTCGACAATCAGGACCGACTCCGATGTCTGTATCAACTATACGTTCACAGAACACGACTAGACCCCCGTTCCAAAATTATCGTCCAGAGACCAAATTTTATTGCAGAAGAATTGACTAACAACGAAGTTGAAAACTCAAGCGAAAATCAAGAAATGTTCGAAGATTATCAGAATGATTATTATGATCAATCTTACGATCAACCTAGCACATCCAATGAAAACGGAAATTTTCAGATGGATCCCGAATTAGACAACTCTACGTAAATCTTAATAACTACGAAAATGTTCATTTGCTCTATATCTACCATTCCACTTTTGATTTACTTATTCTAATCGACCCAGGCGCTTCATCATCACTTATGAACCCTGAAACTGCTCATAAGAAATTTTCTAAATACATCTATCCAAAACGCTTTTCTATTAAAACCGCTATTGATACCAAGCAAGGTACAGAAGCATGTAGAATCCCTATATTTAACGATTTAGGTATTCAGACTGAAATTGAATTTTTACTATTACCCTGGCACAAATCCTACGACTGTTTATTAGGATATTACGATTTACAGAAATTTCAAAGTAACTTTAACATTTCTACTAATTTACTGTCTATAAATCAGTATGAGATTTTATGTCACACTCACAAGACTCCCATACGAGAATCTAATACAATTTTCTCGACTATCCCTACTGATATTTCCGCCAAATCAGCCTTAGTATCAGATTACTTATGCCCTGTTATTAACAAACGCATTTTAGTCCCATATCACCTCAACAATGTTGAAATTCAACCTGAACCTTTTGAAAACTATGAATTAGCAGAACCACCAATCGAACGCATCAACTTTAAACAACTTATACGTACCGAGCACATGAACTCAGAGGAACGCTTTCATATTATCAAATTATGTGAGAAATATCCTCATGCTTTTTTAAAGCCTAACGAAAATTTACAGCCTTGCTCAGCTGCTAAGCACTTTATCAGAACGACTCATGACGATCCTATATTTGTTAAATCTTTTAGATACCCATATCACTTGAAACAAGAAATTCAGAAACAAATTTCCAAATTACTAAGCGACGAAGTTATACGCCCTAGTATCTCACCATACTCTGCCCCAGTTTGGATAGTACCCAAAAAGGCCGACGCATCAGGTCAGAAAAAGTACCGCATGGTAATAGATTTTAGAAAATTAAACGATATCACAGTAGAAGATAAATATCCCTTGCCTAGAACAGAAGAAATCCTTGAAAGTTTAGGTAAAGCTAAATACTTTTCTACATTAGATTTAGCACAAGGTTTTCACCAAGTCCCCATGCATCCGAAATCAATTGAGAAAACAGCATTTACAGTAGAAAATGGACATTATGAATACGTTAGAATGCCATTTGGTTTAAAGAACGCCCCAGCCACGTTTCAACGAATGATGAACACCGTACTGTTACCTTTCATAGGAAAAACTTGCTTTGTATACTTAGACGATATCATAATATTCTCTAACTCACTGCAAGAACATACGTAGTCGTGCCATAAGTTCTGTCCCATGATAATCTCATGATAAAAATGAAACAAGATAAGATATATTTATATGAAAGATACTATTTATTCGACAACATTTTTAGAATTCATAATCAAACAGTTTTATTCAAAATGTCCCCCCTTGGCCTTCACACACTGCTTCAATCTCGCGGGCCACTCATCTATCTCTGCACGCACAGCTTCCAAAGGAATAGCTGCCGCTGATCGGATCAAATCCGCTTTCAGGGACTCGATATTACGGTGGGCTTTGGAGCAGGCCAACTGCTCTAGCAGGTCCCACAACTTGTAGTCTAAAGGATTGAGGTCCGGACTCCCTGAGGGCCAATCTTCCGCAGCAATGAACTCTGGCACATTGCTTTCCAGCCAGCGCTGCGTACTCTTAGCCTTGTGAGCGGGGGCGGAATCCTGCTGGTAGACCCAGTGTTGGTTGGCAAACAATGTACCACTTAAAGGCTTGACGATAGGATCCAGTATGTCGCTCTGATAGTTTGCCGCTTTTGTTTTCACGCCCTGTTTACAGAAATGGAGCTGAGTGACCCCTTCGTAGGACACCCCCCACCAAACCATGACTGACGCAGGGTGGTGGCCTCTCTCAACTCTCGGAATGATCTCCGAAGCTTCCTGTGAACTCCTTGCATACACTTTGTCATTTTGTCGGTTGAATTTTTCTTCTATGGTGAAGATTTTCTCATCCGTGAACAAAATCTTTCGGAATCCCCCAGCTGCGTACCTCTCCAAGAGCTTCTTGGATCTTGTCGCCCTGATGTGCCGCAAGGTGGCCGTAAGTCGCTGGCCCGTACGTCTCCGGTAAGCCCCTAGCCCTAGGTCTTGTTTAATGATGCGCGACATCGTCCGGACAGGAATCTTCATTTCCCTGGATAGGATCTTCTGCTTCCGGAGTGGATTCCTTTGAATCCTGGCTTTTACGGCTTTGATGGCTGCTGGAGTCCTTACTTGACGAGGTCTTCCGCTTCTTGGCCTGTCATCAACAGAGGACGTCTCATTGTACCGCTGAATGGTCCTAGACACAAATTTACGCGATATTTGAAGGCCGCGTAAGAGTTCAAAAATCTGACTAGCACTGTGATTACACTTAAGTAAAGCTATCACCGCAATACGGTTCTCTGCCTTGCCCCACTCCATCGTTATGCTTCGAGAGATCAATACAAACTGAGGTATATGTAATTACCCGAAAAGCGCTTAATCAACTGACACCACAATGTAAACAATCGGACAAGTATTAACAGGTCTACACTTGTTTGAAAACGAGGGACAGAACTTATGGCATGACTACGTATAATTCATCTTAAGGAAATATTCTAACAACTAATTTCGTATCAACTTAAAATCCAACTTGACAAAACACAATTTTTACGA